TGCGTGAAAGTGGGGGATCGAGCGAGTGCCAAAGCAATTTACTTTTCTCATTATCTGTGCGGTCAATAGCAAAAAAAAGTCGTTATATTCATTATTAGTGATGACAGGCGAAGGTCACGTTAGAAAATTACATGCAAATTGATGCGAAATCATCGTAGTAAACGCACTCTTTCAAAGAGACGAATATCAACAGATGCAACACTATACTAAAAGGAAACTTATGTAGCATCAGTCACTTCCAATTTCTTTTCGTTCCATTCCAATGACAAGGTGACATAATGATAATACATAACAATGACGATTAAGTTAGGTTAGCTCGGATAATTTAACGACTTATCAACACTTGTTGAAATATTTAATGTCGAATCTCGATCTCGTCGGACAGAAATCACAATGAATTAATAGTTTCTTAACCATTTCATGATATTCTATACCGCGCACCCCGCAACCGATAAAATAAAAAAAAAATTGAATTTTCAGGTCATCTGCTATTTAATGAACTTGTGTAAGCAATTGACACAATTATTTCAGAAAATGCCAGATAAGATTTATTTTTTTGTCCTTGATTCTTTTAAATTGTGTTTCAAATGTGCTGTTCCTTTTTGCTGAGAGGGAAACGCATCGAGACGGTTTCGAAACCAGGTTTTATCATGAACGAGATTGGGAAAACCTGTTTCACAAAAATATGTCGTCGCAAATGAAACAAGTTCACCAAGTGCTTTTTTCTAATTTTTTTTTTTTTTTTTTTTTTTTTTGAAATGTTGGTGATTGTTACGATCTGTGATGCTCTAAAATACACCAATTTCTTCACATCGAAAACCATTGTCGTGGCGCCAAGTACTTACTTAGAGCAGCTTACAAATGCTGCTATCTGTGATGCTCCCAGATTCTCCAATGTGTTCGCTTCCAAAGCCATTTTTTCTGGCATCAACTGCTTTCGTAGAACTGCTTGTGATTGCTGCTATCTTTTTATGCCCAAACATTTACCAATCTCTTCGCTTCGAAAACCATTTTTGCGGGATTATCGTGTTGGATATCAATAATCCTATCCCAACTAATTGCCTCCTAACATAACCCTGTATCTCGTGTGGCGCTCGGACCTTGTAAAAGGTGAACTTTACAGTAATTTTTTTAAAATTTCCTCTTTCATAGTATCATCGTCAAACATGGCGCGTAGTTGAAATGAAAAAGGGTCCTTTATCCAACAGTTTTTTTTAATCGTGTGCACCCCAAATCAATTTAAAGCCACTAAGACACAAGGAGGGGGTGTTACTGTGTTTTGAAAAGTTAGAAACTAGAAACCTTGCTAAAAAGTGAAGACAAAAGAAGAGTAAAATTAAAGTCAAGAAAACATGGAGTCGGAAGTGAGTTCCACAAGCGAGAAGTGCAAGAAAAGAAACTGTCACCATAGAACTACATCTAGCCAGCTGAACTGTAGATTGATTAGCTCTTGACGCCAGTCCAGTACTGCGCTTAAAAGTCTATGTACCATAACGAAGAGCTCATCTGAACAACTACCATTAAAGTATTTATAGAAAAGACACAGAAAGGCAACCTTGCGGCGGTCGGCAATGACTGAAGCCGAGACACGAGATCAGGACCAATAATATTGCTGAGTCTTCTTTGGATTTTATCAAGAAGCAGAGACTATTTTATTACTGTTGAGAAATCAGTTTTCATGTACTTCTTCACCCAACATACGTTTCTCTTACTATTTGCTTCAAGGACGATCTTAAAGATCGTAGGGTACAAAAGACGTGAACTGCGCTGTTTGCTGCATCATACTATCTAGCTAAGGTGATGAGCTTTTATGTAGTAGCATTTTTATGCAGAGACAACAGAATGCAACAATATTCAGTATCAAGAATTATCACTTATTTTAATTAAACAAGTATTTCCAACATTATGTATTCTAAGGATAAACTTTCCATTTTCAGGATATATAAACTATTGAATTTTATTTTACATAGGCTGTATTCATATTCTCTCTTTCTCAACATTCATATGACTGAACTGAAAAGATAGAAATTGAAAACAAAGCAAAATTTACGTTTTATTAGAATTGTATTCTCAAGATCACCAACGCAGTACTGTTTCAAGGCTCTATAAGAAAATGGTTCCATACATCAGTCGGTGTATACTAAGGCTATCTTCAGTCCCATACACTCTTACTTGACGCCATTGATGAAATTGTTAAATAAGGAGACCTTGCTGCCAATCTAGTACTGCACTTAAATTCATTCAGTCTAGGTATCATAGCGAGGAGTTCATCCGATCAATTTGCAGATGTAACTGTAAGCTCTATGGTAACAGTTTCTTTTCTTGCACTTCTCGCTTGCGAACTCCCTTCCGGTTCCATGCATAACGGCCATCTTTAATCTGCAAAAAATTGAATGCAATGTCAATCGTTGTCTACTGTCCTCCTGACTACTCTTTCCTCTCCCCGCTTAGTATTAATGTTTTTGTTCCTAATTCTTTCGCACCCTGTAACCTCTTGTGTCTTAGTAGCTTTACCGATTAAAACAATTAGTTGGCTAGAATGAGCAACTTCTGTGGAATCGTCTAATTGCAATGATATTTTAATGGGACTCTTATTGATATCATCGATATTACTTGCTCCAAAATAGCCTGGATCAATAATTCTGTTCTTGAAACATTGTTACTCATTGGAACTTGTGCAATCATCCTTTCTGTATCTTTCCACAGAACAAAGCGTAACTATTTCTTCGGCGATTTTACGTTTTTTTTTCTTTTTAACCACTCGATGGGTAACTTTATAGAATGCTTCGATGGGACGCTTTCCAATTTATATAAACCCCAATTTTGATAGAGTTCCTTGACGATCAAATCATGCCTTCTTCGCTTTGAGTGTTTCTTTGTCGCTTCCAGTCTCTGAACTCTTTTAAATTGTTCGTCGAATTTAGAAAATCTCAAGTCTTCATTTGAAAATACCACTGAGCATAAAATGCATTGAAGATTTTATGTCCACCTTTTTCGGTTTGAATCCAAAACAATAGTAATCATCGTTCTATTTCAGAAAGGCAAATATGGATCTTTGTATCCGCAAAAAGAACAGTGTCAAAAGGACGGTTTTCTCTTTGACACTGCTATTGTTTTAACTACCTTCACTCCTCGGCAATGTTTATTGTTTCAAAAACCGTTTATTAGAATTGTAATAAAACTTAAACATATGATGAAACTGAATTTCTAATTTTTTTCTCTTGGAAATTTATAACAAAAATTATTAAATTATTAAACACCATTTATTAGATTGCTAATTAGATTTATTTACAAGAATAATATTTATTAAATAAATATATAATTTATATTTACAACATTCTAAAAATTAATACAATTAGAATTAATGCAATGCGATATTTATCATCTACCAATAAACATCTAACTTATAAACATTGACTAAAATATTAAAATATGTGCACCAACTATGAGGAAATCGTTATTATTTACCATTTTATAAAGTTCTATCACTTGACAATCAGCCGAAGTTTTGCCAAACATTACAATAAACGATATTCACTTTCATCGTATGTTTATGTTTTATTAAAATGTCTGCATAGCGCATATTTTTAAGCTTACGTCACCGATAATTGATTCAGATAATCGGATACTCTTTACCGGACAAGGAGTCAATTCCTATGGAACTGACCCCTTTTTATGCTGTTATCATTGAGTTTTGAATTGCCATGTTATTGTTAGGAGGGATATCAGAGTGGTTTCCCTTCTCCACTGTGATTTTATCGAAGCACTACCTCTAGTTTGCTGACCTTTACCTCTTGAAGTTCATCTGTTTTACTTCCTGCTGGCTTGTTAACCGCCGTCCTAGTTCCCACCGATGAGAGATGATGGAGCCTGTCTAGTCGGCGACGCTAATAGCTATAATTTAGTGAAAGTTCCACGAAAAAAGAAAGAACATTTGGTCTATTCCCCACTTTCCATGACAGTTACATGCACTGCCACATCAGTTGCAGAAGATGCGTCGATTGGTCTACAATCCGGCATAAGTAAAAGTTTAAAATAATGTGCGCTTGAATAACTTGGCCATTTAGATAAAAGATTTACAAAGCGAGACATCGGAAGCGAAGTCCTAAATTGGAAGGTTTTCTCTTTGAAAATCTTCAAATATTGAGAGAGACATCTGGGCATCTGTTGCATCATGGATCCAAGTAGGAGTGCCTGGTTTCGTTGAAAATCGTCATTCGAAATTTTATTTTTTACATGAACTGGAAGACTGATCGTTGCCGAGGCAACTTACTGAGGAATGCGACAAGTGTTGTAGAGTGGTTTCACAGTGGAGGCTTGTATTTGTACTAAGTCGGTCCTAAAATAGATTCGACGTAAAAAACGTTAGGAACTTGATATAATAGGTAATGACGCAGTAATCTAGTTGTGGTGGCTGATGCTTTAATATCCGACTAACGGTTGTCTGACATCGACTGACTGACCAACTCCCCCCGAGCGGCTGCTACTACTCCTACTTATTATAGGTGGGAGAGTCCATTAACAATAGAATAGGTGTGTTCCACTATAACAGCATCCTCCTTAGAATGGGTGGTTGTGATGACTCTAATGGTTTTTCGACCATGCCAAAGAAGGAGTCCTGGAGTCCTGAAGTGCTGGGCAGATCGAGGTTCTTGATCTCGGCTTACTTGCAAGAATTTAAAGATTTATTTTACTTTTTATAAATTATTTTTACTTTCAAAATTATCCAGCCTCTATCGTTTCTCGCTCTTTCAGCTTCTTTTCAGCCACCATGCTTGTATTTAATGACCCACGTTTGATGCCTGTTTTTTGTTATTGATTTTAAGCTACCAGCAATTTCGAGAATATCTACAATTAATGCTACTAATAATGTTGGCCACGTTATCTGTAATGGTTTTGAATTGTATTGCTTACTAGCCACAGTATCGTCAGGTCTAGAAAAAAATTCTTCTTCATCTTTTCTCATGACCAAGCCGATCGTACAAGAGACATGAACGATGATGATTGCAGCTAAACGCCATCAACCAGATCTGTTTTCCGCCACACGAAACAGCGTCGGAGTGTCCATTTTGGTCCATTCTTTGATATTATCCATCCATCTTTTGCACTGCCATCCCCTACGCCTAGCCCCTTCCAAGGTACCTTAAAGAGTTATCTTGAGCAGCCCCTTCCAAGGTACCTTGAAGGGTCATATTGTTGCGTATGACATTTCCAAGCCACAACAGCTTTCTCCTCTTTACTGTTACCAAGAGGGACTCCTGAGAGCCGACCAGTTGCGTTACTTGTAGTTGTGCAAAGTCATTTGTCTTGTGTTCTCTGCAGATCATGAGAAGGCATCTGAAGAATTTTGTTTCAAATATTTAGACTCCCATGATGGTTTCTGCTATTAGAGTCCAGCTTTCACATTCATAGAGCAGTATGGACAGAAAAAAAAACAGAAAAATTAAATAAACAGCCATGTTGAAAATAAATATATGATTAAATTATTTGCAGCTCCTGCACCATTACATATTCGAATGTGATTTAAATTTGGATGAGAGACCGACGGAATGGTGAATGTAGGAGACTACTTGAAAAGCTCTTCTTTTGATGCTTCGCTTATCAAACAGCGTCATCAGAAAAATGGATTTTATTCCAACCAAATATACATTGGCGAGACAGTATGCGATTCCTCTTAGTCATTTGAACGCTGGAATGTTATGCCTTTCAAAAGCTAAACAAGGTATTAAGAAACAGAAAATGTTTTTTTAGAAACAAAGAAAACAGGACTGAACTGTTACGTGGTATCTGTCCTTCTATATGGCAGTGCATGCTGGGCAATCTCCTCAAAGATGAAGTAGAGACTTAAAGCAACAAAAATTCGCTTCTACTAAAAGATACTGAGGATACCATGGACCGAACATGTGAGGCACAAGGAGATTTAACAGAAAATAGAATTAAAAAGAAAACTTATACTTAACATCAGAAAGAGACAATTGAAAATTCTGGGGCATGTAATGAGGAAAGAGGGCTTGGAAAATCTGATACTCACAAAACGGATGGAGAAAATAACATACTTGATGGGATTGAGTAAATGATTGGTGGAACATGGTTTAGGAGAAATAGCAAAAAGATAACATTTATTAAGAGCTACAAGCGATAGGAAAGTGTGGAGGGTCATGATTGCCTACGCCCTGAAGGAACACGACACATAGAAGAAGAAAAAGAACGAACTTGTGTAAATGGATGGCAGAACAGTATTCAGCAGAGATAACAAAAAAAGACAAAATTTATTAAGAGCTACAAGCGATAGGAAATTGTGGAGGTCCATGATTGCGTATATCCTGAATGGACACGGCACATAAAGAATAAATATCGTATTTGAAATAGGTTTTTACTCGGTTTGTATTTATACAGGGTTTGATGAGTAAATTGATGCAATTTTATATCTTTAATTTCGCGCATGCGCGTTGTTTGTTCTTGAATTTGTCGACTGTACTGCATAGCAGGGTCAATTGTGAGAGAAAGCGCACCAAGACGCAATTCACTCCGCCAAAAATTTGGAAACGGCATGTTGTACTGCTTGGCATTTGCACCAGAAGCTCCAATACGAACACTTCAGTATTTGGGTGTCAATCTGAGGACAATGAAGAGGATTCGGTAAGGGTTGTATGAGTCTAATGGTGATTACGATTACTAGTAATGGCAACGTTATGCCTCCATTTATCTTCCCATAGGGCCTCAGTCTCAACATGGAAGCCTACATCAAGTGCCTTGAGGAGGTAGTACTGCCCTGAATCAAGAGGGTGGCTGCTGGAAGACCCTATGTCTGACAACAGGACTCTGCACCATGCTACACATGCAGGAGAATCCAGTCATGGCTGTCAAACAATTTCTACGGCCGCACCAACACTTAGATCTGTCCACTTAAGACTGCAACCACTTGATTATTCCGTGTCGTGCGTAATTGAGCAAGGGAGAAAAAAGTTTCTTGTAACATCAAAAATGAACTGAAAGCAAGGATCATGGCAGCATTCACCAACTTAAACATGGAAACCGTCCGGAAGAGTTGCAGGAGATTCCAAGGTCATCTGAACGCCGTGGTTGAAGCCAAAGGGAATTTTATTGTATAAATTTACTATTTTATATTTCAAGATATTTTTGTGTAATTTTGGTAAATATATCGAAATGTCAATGTTATTTTCATTTTTGCGTAATTTAGACATTTTATCCATTGTACCCTGTATATTCATTTTAAACTAGAATGTTAGTTTAAAACGAAGCGTCGGTCACCTGCATGCTGTGCCACACCTTTAAAAGTTTTACAGAGGACACAGTAGCAATCAGCTAGGGTGGTGACATTATTCTCCGCAGAGAAATCGCATTAAAAATAAAAAGAAGAGGAAGAGGATTTATTTGTTTATTTATAATTTTACTCTTTTCAGGAATTTCCGATTGGTCCCGATATTGATGCCTACATGATTGTTTTCGGAATTGATGACAGGAGAAGCTTCACTTCGGCTGTGGATCTCCTGTACCGTCTACGTAAAGATGACGTTCACAACAGCATCGTGGTGCTAGTCGCCAACAAAGTAGATTTAGTTCGAAACCGTGTTGTCACCACTGAAG